TTTCCTCCCTGAAAAAAAAGCCCCCCCCCCCCCCATATTTTTCCCATGTGTCATTAACATTGCCAAATTATTTCTGTGTAGAATCACCAGGAGAGTGTCTACCAGGCTACTCTGTGTAATTTGGTTACCAAAGTAATTCATTTCCTTCAAGGAAGGGGAAGTTACCCAGTGCTGGCCATTCTGTTCCACGGTCCCTTTGTTATCAGGTACTGTTTATGGATAAAGAATTAGTTTATTGCATTAAAGGGATAAATATTGCATTTCAAAATTCAAAATGAAATTATGAAAACAGAAAAGACGTTGCCTGAGAACTCAGCTGCATTCTTACATGGTTTTGCTGTCTCTCCGAGGACAACATTCAGCCATGAGAGATGCAGGTGATTGTAATCAACTTTTTTTCTCAACTTTTATAAAGAGTTTGCTCAGTTTGCTTGTGTGGCTTTTCTGAACTGTATTGATTCCTACCGCACGTCCCAAACTAGTCCATTCTCTATAGCTTACACAGCTCTGCTAGTAAATTGCAAAACTGTAAAAGATGAATCAAAGTGAATTTTTGTTACCTGCTTACCCCTTACAAATCATAAAATTATAGAATTATTTAGTTTGGAAAAGACCTTTAAGATCATTGAATTCAACTGTAAACCTGACACTGCTAAATCCACCATGTCCCAAAGCACCACACGATGGTGATTCCATCACTTCCCTGGTCAGCCTGTTTCAATGCTTGACTATACTCCTAGTGTAGAATGTTTTCTAATATCCAACCTAAACCTTCCCTGGCATGAGTTGAAGCCATTTCCTTTTGTCCTGCTGCTTGTTACTTAGGAGTTGAGAGAAACCAATCCCACCTGCCTACAACATCTTTTAGGTAGTCCTAGAGAGCAGTGAACTCTCCTCAAGCCCCCTTTTCTCCAGGCTAAACAACCCCCGCTCCTTCAATTGCTCGTCATAAGGTGCTCCAGACCCATCACCAGCTTCATAGCTCTTCTTTGGATGCATATCGGGAACGTACTAGGCAGAAACGACAGCAAGCAGCTTTGAGAGTGGTTCTGACTTAACTGTGGGAAGCCTCCCTGGGCTTTCTGCAGGCAGCCCTGCCACCAGTGCCCATGTGAGAAGGGCTTGGTGCAGGGTGGCATTTATAGAAAAGTTTTCCCTTTGTGGCTCATACCTTTCTGGCATGTGCAGTATTTTCTGGGATGTGCAGTGAGGATCTGTACGAACATGTCAGCATTGGTGGACAAACCTTGTACTTCCAGCAGTGTGCCCCAATGTCCATCCTGGCCTACATCAGGAATAGCATGGTCAGCAGGAGCAGAGGGGTCATTCTTTCCCTGTGCTTGGCACTGGTGAGGAAGCACCCTGAGTGCTGTGTCCAGTTCTGGGTCCCTCAGTTTAGGAAGGATGCTGAGATAGGAGTCTATCTGGAGAAGGGCAACAAGGCTGGTCTGGAACACAAGTCCTAGGAGAAGTGGCTGAGGGAGCTAGAGTTGTTTACCCTGGAAAAGAGGAGACTCAGGGGAGACCCTATCACTCCCTACAAAAACCTGAAAGGAGGTTCTAGCCAGGTGGAGGTCGGTCTCTTCTCTCAGGCAACCAGCAATAGGACATGAGGACACAGCCTTAAGCTGCCCCAAGGGAAGTTTAGGTTGGACATCTGGAAGAAGCTCTTCACAGAAAGGGTGACTGAACGTTGGAATGGACTGCCCATGGAGGTGGTGGAGCCACCATCCCTAGAAGTGTTTCTAAGGTAAGACTGGATATGGCACTTAGTGCCATAGTTCAGTTGACAAGATGGTGTTATTTCATACGTTGGACACGATGATCTCAAAGGTCTTTTCCAACCTAGCTGGCTCTATGATTCCAGCAGCAGAATGGAGCATATGGATGCCGCCGGTGGAGCAGTGAAGCATTGGCACGCCCGAGAAGCGGGGACAGCCGTGCTGGCCCAACACCGGGGCACTCGAGCGCTTTGGGCGGGTAGGAACCACCTCTGACTTACACCGGGTGACCCGGAACGCGGCGGGGCGGGGCGGCGCGGCTCCCAACGGGACGGATGAGGGGTTCCAGCGACGGCTTCCGGCCTGACTGAAAAACAAACTCGGACGCAGTCCTCCGCGGCGGGGGAGAGCACGTAGGGCTGCCCGGGGAAAAGCGGGACCGTGCATGGGGCGACGGATGCGGGGCAGGCCAGGGACAGTCTCCGCCCGCTGAGAGCCGCCGGGACGGCTCAGCCCGGCCCGGCCCCGCCTCGCCAGGACGGTTCGGAAGGCATGCTGGGACTTGTAGTCCCGCGCGACGCCGTCCCGCCTCCGGCGGCAAAACTACAACTGAGCGAAACTACAACTCCCGGCGGGCCGAGGGGCGTGTCTGAGGCGCCGTGTCCGAGCCCTCACGGGGCGGGGGCCGATCCCGCTAGGTCGGGCCGCGCGGGCGGGGCTTCTCCGTGCCCACCGTTCGCTGGCGGGACTCGCCCGCCCTCGGCCCGGCAGCGGGGCAGGACGCGGCTGCCGCCCCGGGTTGGCGGCACACACCGTTCGCGGCTCAGCGGAGCGTGGGTCGGGGGCGGCTCGGCTGAGTGGGAGGCGGCGGCAGTGGGAGCGGGGCTCCAACGCGGACACCCTCTGCCCGACTCGGTGCCCTGCGCTCCCAGCCCGACCGGCGGGCGGCTGCCTGCGGGGAGGTGGCGATGGAGAAGAGTTAGTGCAGTCACCGCGCTCCAGTGGCCGGGGAGAGGGCCGGGCCGGGCCGGCTGGTGCGAGGGACCTGCTGCCCTGTCGCCGAGAAGCGGCTGAGTGACCGACCGGCCGGGAGCGGCGGAGGGTGCGCGCCTGTGTGGTCCCGTCCCCCGCCGGCTCCTCCCGCGGGCGGGCGGGCGGGCGGCCGGCGCTGCGGTGGTTACCGCCTCCCCCTGAAAATGAAGAGGTGGTGGCAGCTGCTGCTTCGGGGTCTGGCTGCCGGGGGGAAACCTGGATAGAGGCTCGTAAAGAAGGGTGAAGAGAAAGTCGCCGCTCTCTGGTTCGCGAAGGGGGAAGCCGGGCGTTTTTCTTACCTTGCTGCGGGGCTAGAGCACAGCGAAGCCAGGGACGCCGCCGGGAGCCGCTCCTGTGCGCCGGGAGAGGGGGCGGGATGCGGGGGGGGCCCCGGCACCGCCGCGGGCCGTGGGCGAGAGCCTTCGGCGGGGCGGGGTGCGAGCGGCGGCGCTGAGCCGGGCGGAGAGGATGGTGCGGGGAGGGAGAAGTCCTGGCAGAGATCTAGCGGCGGAGAAGCCTCCCCGTCCCCTGCCTCCCAACCTCCCTGCCGCGGGGCCGAGGCGCTGGGGAGCATGAGGCGGCGGCGGGGACCTGTTGTGTAGGGGGAGGCGCGGGAAGGGAGGATGAGGAGGACCCGCTCCCGAAGCGCTGGTGTCTGTCGGCGAGCGGCCGTGCCCCGGGCTGCCACGGGCTCGGGAGAATCCCTTCCTGTGGAGTGGTGACAGGGGAGCTCTGCGCCCCTGGGTCTGCGCGGAGCGGCGGCCGCTTCCCGCTGGACTGCGGCTTCAGGAAGAGGAGAGCTTCAAGTGTTCTTCGGAAGCTGGAGTTGCAGCCTGGTTCCTTACTTGCCTTCTTTTTTATTTTTTTTTTTTTCCTCTCCCCTCCCCCTTAATGATTTGTTTCGCGTGTCTCTCGAGGGAACGAACGTCTTAGGAATGGTCATTTTTAGCAGTGGAATCTGCTGCGCAAAGGAGGATTATAACAAATCTCTATGAATGATAGACTCGATTGCTAAACCTTGCCTTGACCAACCTTCTGACCCTCGGAGAAAACTCTCAGGGTCTGCGTGGGAAGGAAAAAACCTTCCCATTTGAAAATAAACTTGATTAAAAAAGACTGATTTTTTTTTTTTTTGAGAGCTTAACTGATTTATAATTACTTTTTTTTTTTTTTCTTTTTGTCCTGTTTTGTGATAAGTTGTTTTTAAAAGGATTGTCCTACGTGGCTGTTTTGTGACTGGTGGAGGAAGGAAGGATCCCTCTCAAGTGTTTCTGATATGACAGCTTTGGTTTCTGAAGAGTTAAGTGGTGTTTGCATGATACACTTATTGCTAGTCTGGTAGCAGACTTTTCATCGTTTTATTTGCTTTTTTATTAACTGGGGCTGGTGGAGAGGGCTCTCTTGGTCAGAAAAATATTTGCACATATATATTTGTATATATTTTTGGTGGGGTTCTCCCCACATTTTACTCTTTCTTGATGACTCCTGGAGGTGGTAGTGGGCCCATGAAAGACTGTGAATACAGTCAGATCAGCACACACAGCTCTTCGTCTCCCATGGAGTCTCCCCATAAGAAAAAGAAATCAGTTCCCAAGAGAAAATGGGAGGTTTTTCCTGGAAGAAACAAATTCTTCTGCAATGGGAGGATCATGATGGCTCGACAGACTGGAGTCTTCTACCTGACTCTTGTTCTCATCTTGGTCACCAGTGGACTCTTCTTTGCATTTGAGTAAGTGACTTTAAAGTCTTCATATATTCCTTCTCCTCCTCTAGTTATTTATTTTCTGGCTGAAAGCAAAATTAACGTTTTTATTTAGGAGAGGATGCTGACTGAATTCCACCGATATTGATTTATATAATTGAAAATACCATCTAATAAGATGCTGAGGGGTGCACAATACAGTTTGGGTTATCATACTCTGTGGAAAACTAATGAGAATTGAAGTTGCTTTTGTTGAAAATTAATGAGAATTGAAGTTGCTTTTATACCATAGGTTTCCATCTCTTGCTGGTGTTGAAAGAGGAGTGTAAAACAGCAGGTTTGGGATGACCAGGAAACAATGAGGCTCCTCATCTGTCAGTTACTCTGAGAATCAAAACTGGCACATGCAAAAATACTGACTTTGTCACAGAACTGAATGCAAGAAAGGCAGTACTTTTCATTAGTTGATTAATTGGGAATGATTTTGTTTTCTCTTGACATCATTTTAATAGCTTGTAGATGAGAATTCGAAGTGAGGAGAAAAAAAAGAGCTGTACAATTTTGCATGTACCTAGCTTTCCACCACTAGGTAACAGCATTACTTTCTCTTTGTGATAACTTGTATGGGAGTTTAGTCTTAGTTTAAGCTACATTTGCTTTGGAGGTTTTGACTGTATTTTTTAAAATAAGCTTCTGGTGTCCTTCTAGGGCCTTTTTCTCTGTAGCTCTGGAGTCCTTTTCATCTGTATAAAGTGAACACACAGTGACAGCAAATCAAATATACTGATTTTTGCTCTTATATTGTAGTAGTTAAATTAACTACACATGGCAGTAAAGAGTTAGGCACTTGATGTGAGTAATATTGTGTAACTTTTATTTACTTAGTTTTATTTAGGAACCAAGTACAAAGAAGTTCACACTGCTAAAACACGTCCTATAAGAATAATTGAGTTATCTTAAAAGTGTTAGTGCTCCTTTGCCTGCTTTAAATGATTGTGATTTGACTTGTGGCAGTAAAATATCTTCAAATTATTTTTTTTCTGCAATAATAAGAACTGTTATTTATAACTAAGCTTTATTGCTGCCTCCAGAAATTGTTTTGCTAAGCAATACAGTTGAAAACCAAAGGTCATTCATTACTTGGTGTCTTCAAGCAAGAAGATAAGGACATTAACAAACCCTAAATTGTACCTGTTAAATGCAGATCATCTTAACAATAGTGATAGCAGTAAAGAAGATAAAAATGCTCAGCAGGTAACCAGTAGCTAAATGTATATGTGAGCTCAGTAGATGAATTGTCATTAGTGGGCTCCAGGTTACTTTAGAGGGGTTTATTAAACGTGAATCTTCTGCAGACATTATGAAGCGGCTTGAGTATCATTTGAGTAGTTGAAATAACACAGACAATGATGGTATCCACGCTGCAAGTGTGTTTACTTTGCTGATTTTAAACAGGTATTAAAGGTGTAACTTTTAATAGTATGATGATAGTATTGCATTAGGACTGGGTGCTACTCTCTTCTGTTTGCCATGATTAAGGTGTTGGAAAGCTTTTCTATGTGGGCTGACACTGCTGTCTGTGTGCAGTCTCATCACCTTCAGCACAGCCTCTGAAGCCTGCTGGACTTCCTGCAGATACCAGAATGTAAATGTAGGATTGGAAGTATAATGTTCTATTATCAGGATTGTACAACTGATTTATTAAGCCACCATTTGCAATTTATTTATATGTTTTAACACTTTGATCTTTCAGAGATAAATTTTCTTTGCAGCTGCATGATTCAGAACTGCTAAAACAGGATGAGCTGTTGGCTGTTCATCACCTTCTGATTTCATCACTACTGTGAGCTACATGCTCTACCAGAGTTGAATTCTGCAACTTTCATCGCGTATTGGAGAATATTTGCAGTGTAACCATATGTGATTGACAAGATTTGTAGTCAAGGATTTTCATATATACTTGGTGCTTATTCTTACTGGCAGTCTTAAAGCAAGGAGGAATCTTGGGCTTTATATAATAGAACTTATTTAATATAAATTCTCTGTGTATGTACTGGTCTTGAGTAATTCTTGTATCACGTGCACGCCTAAGGAAAATCAAAATAGAAGGTGACAATGGTATTTCATTTTTGTAATAAGGTAGATTTTGGTCTTTAGAAAGCCCTTGCCTGAAAAATTATTACTCATCCACTGAAGGCTAATTAAAAGCCAAATCTAAAGACTGTGAGAATGGTGTTCAATATGTCTGTGATAGTTAAACTGGAGAGAGTTGTTAATGTTAGAAAGAGGGGAGTCTCTTAATGAAGTGTTACTTTCAAGCAGTTTCTACTTGTGTCTGTTCCTAGTAGTGTAAAGTTACTATTTATTGATCAGTGATAACATCCTGAGTGTTAAGTGTCACTGCCATTATTGGCTGATTTGATTATGGCGTTCCTCATTAACCAGTCATTTATTGAATATGGCAGAAATGTCTTTCAATCCTTCATGTGCCTGTGGAGCAGAGTGGTTTTTAAATCAAAGTGTGCCCTGTGTGTCTGAAACGTAAGGTCAAACTGCCATTGAAGAGGAAGGTATCCTGTATGTTCTTGGAAATGTTTGTTCTTTTTTGCTGCAGTGGAAATAAATTCTTTTGTTCCCTTTGGTTTTTGGAAACTTGAAAATGGGTTCTCAAGGTTCAAGTCATTCCCTAGTTACTGATGGGAAGTGGGGGAAGTAGGAAAGATTACTTTGACAGCTAATTCCTTGGAAAGCATCATGCTAACATAAACAGTTGCCCTTTATACTTTGGCTTCGTTTGTTCCTTCAGTGTGATTTCCCTCCCTTCTATTTTACTCTTGACATCCATACATCTAGAGCTGTATCTCGTGCTTTGGAATACTCTTCAGGGAAGAAATACATTTCTCAGAGTCAGCAAATCCTGTGTCTCCAAAAGCAAATGTATGTCACACATCTTGACCTGTATAGCTTTTGACATCGAGTCATGCCTTTGTAATCTTTGTTTCTTTATATTTATGCTTTTGTGCTTTTTTCCTGCCTACTTTCTCCAGCTCCTGCTTTCAGCTGATTTTATTCCTTTCTCTCTGTTGACTTTTATCTCTCATATACTCAAAGTACATGACCACTTCTTCCTTTTATCATTTCACTGTTCTTTTTCATTTTCAAAGAGATAAGCCAGAATTTGCTTAAAAGAAAAACAACAAACCATGAGTTTTCAAGCAGGTAAAATATTTATAAGTCCTGTTTCCCTCCCTTTCCAAAGGAAGAGATTGCAAATAACAAGCAGTTTTATTTCTGTAACTTGTTTATTAAATGTAATATGAATTATTGCAAGCACTTATGCGTCCTAAGAGGGATGCTGTGCTGAGTTTTTCTTAAAAACAATGCCTATTTTAAATTGCTCAAGATGAGACACCACAAATTACTGAATTTGTCTTTGAAATTTGGTGATGTTACTTTACCTTGAAACTTTTTTCTAACCCTAACCTTGGGTTATTTAGCTGTTTCTTCTTTTTTCTTGTAATTCTGGCCTTGTGTTGCATTTTGGTTTTGTCCTTTGCCTTGCACCAGTACACAGAGATTTTTCCAAACTATTTAGCACTCTTTTATCTAGGTAGTTTCATTTAAAGCTTAGAAAACAAATTCCTCTCCACAGAGCAAAGATAGCATCTGTAACTGAGGGACAGGTCTGTTGCTGTGTGTAGCCAGTTCAACCGTTGCATTTACATGTATGTGAAGTCCTTTATTTGTGCAACAGAGGCAGAACTAACACACTTCATGCTTACTGCACTTAGCTAGGTGTACATATTCAAAAGAAATAAGAGCTTTTTATGCTCATGCTCATTTGGGGTCCTGTTTCTGTCGGTTACAGGAAAGCAAAATGGAGCCTGAGTGACACATTTAACACAGCAGGAATTGTGGAACAAACATATTGTTGTTAAATGGCAAATCTCATGTGTATGCACAAGATCACAAGTTCCAGAGAGGTGGCTGACGACCTCAGCTATGTTGCTACTGTCAGCTGCCCCTGGGTGCTCCCTTTCCTCTTGGGTCTCACTGGGCAGGTATCAGGAAGGAACATGTCTGCACCTGGGCTGCTTCAGCTCAGGCAGGCAAATTAAACTTCCCATAAAACGTGGGTTTAAGGGAAGATGCCGACTGAACTGAATTGACTCCGGCACAGTCGTGTTTTCTTCTGTCAACTTATTTGCAGGGTGAGTGGCTCTGGAAGAAGGTTGAAACAGATGGTAGGATGCTGGAAGGGCTGAAGCAGTGCAGCTTTTTTCTCTGTAAATGTGAATCAGAGCTCTATCACTTCTGATACCATTTGACGCTTGCACTGATTCAGCAAGCTGGAGGGTTTTGTAGTTTGTTTGTTTTGAGCTAACTAACACTTGATATTTTTAATTTTTTTTTTTTTTATTTTTTTTTTTTTGGTGAGCATTTGTGTAATTGCATTTTCTTGCAAAAGATGTATGCTGGAAAATTATTTAAACTGAGGCTGTTTATGTGCATACGTGTGTACAAACCATTGGTTTCTGTGCTCTCGCAGTTGCTGGCAACCTGCTCCATGCCTCCCACTTTGAAAACTGGTGTGACTGGAGGACATTCATGAGTCACACTTTCTGATGCTATGTGTGGATTGTTCAATATCGAACTTCTGTGGTGGAGTGGTGTAACTTGCTGCTCACTGCGACAAACCTCTGTGTGTAAACACTGTTGTCAATAAGCTGAGCATTTTCACTGTGGTATCAACAACCCTTCTCAGCTTATGGCAGGTCTTTTCTGCTCTTGCAAGAGGTGGTCTTTTAGCATGACATTGTATGAAGTAGGTGGAATGTTCCTCTAGTAACATCCTTTATCTTAAGGATAAAGATGTTCCTCTGCTCTTAAGACAAGTAAGTTACTTGTGTCACTTGATGACCCTGTCCTTAAAATACGAGTTCTTAGAAGAAAGTGCTACCGATCCAACTTCAGCTGTTAGAGACTGCTCTAAACTTATAGGGCATTTCTAGTTGAAGATATCAAAA